CTAGTAGATTATCTAACTCTTCAATTTGTCCAGGGGGCCTATAAATCACACCTACACGAGTTACTGTGTGATTACCAAATTCTAACGTAGCCCAAACGGACTCTATGTTTACCTCACTAACTTTTATTAGGCTAGATTTTATGCTATCCTTCACATACAAGGCCACCCCTCCCCCTTTCTTGCCTTCCCTATCTTTCCTATATAAAGAGTACCCTGGTATTGCTATGTCCCAGTCATTTTTCTCATTGTACCATGTCTCAGTAACAGCGACTAAATCTACACTATCAGTTGCCATTATTGCCACAAGTTCATGGATCTTATTCCCTAAACTGCGAGCATTTGTAGACATGACTCTAAGCTTATCATTTTTTAACACACTTGCTACAGGCACCTTCTGTCCTTGTTTTGGGGGACAATTGGATTGATGTTTTATCACCCTTTTGCCCCCCCCTCCTAGTTTAAATACATCCTAGCAAAACCTCTGAACTGCTCACTGAGAACATTTGTTCCCTTTTGAGAAAGATGCAAACCATCTTTTTGTACAGCTTATCTCCATTCCAAACAGAGCTACCATGAGAAATAAAGCCAAATCCTTGCTCCCGACACCATTCACCAAGCCACAAATTAAAGTCCCTAATACGCATCCGCCTGTCGTTCTGAGTGTTATGCACAGGCAGAACTTCAGAGAATGACAGTGTGGAAGCAACCTGCCGTATATCATTGGCAAAAACACTAAAAACTTCCTTAACCTCTGAAACCTCATTGCAAGCCAAGTCATTTGTCCCTAGATGGACAAGTACATCCAATTCCCCTTCCTGCTTTGCTTGCTTAACAATATTACAGATACGTCTCCTGTCTCTGTGAGCAGTAGCTCCGGGAAGACACCTCACAAGACCACCATTGTCCATCTCCACACCTCTTATAATGGAATCACCCAACAACAACAACTGCTTTCTATTAGGCCTCACCATAGTCTCCAAGCCGGTCTCCACAACACCACTAGTCTCAGTGCCTCTCTCCACAACACCACTAGTCTCAGTGCCTCTCTCCACAACACCACTAGCCTCAGTGCCTCTCTCCACAACACCACTAGTCTTAGTGCCTCTCTCCACAACACCAGTAGCCTCAGTGCCTCTCTCCACAACACCACTAGCCTCAGTGCCTCTCTCTACAACACCACTAGCCTCAGTGCCTCTCTCCACAACACCACTAGTTTTAGTGCCTCTCTCCACAACACCACTAGCCTCAGTGCCTCTCTCCACAACACCACTAGCCTCAGTGCCTCTCTCCACAACACCATTACACTCTGAAAGTGCAGGAAATGAATTATGAAGAGCAACAGACTGTGCAAAATGCCTTTTATCCACAACTCTAAGTCTACAGATCCTACAGTAATCCATCTGCCTTTCCTAGCATGTCTCTGCGGCAGTGGCTTTGCAGCAGTTCCAGTCTGAGTTTCTTCACCAGATAATTTACAAATCTCAGACTTCAAAAATACAATCTCCTGCCGCAAGATAGAGAACTGTCTACACATTAGACAACAACCAAACCTCCAAAAAGTGGAACGTGAAACAAATGCATAGCAATTGTTACACTGAACTAAGCCTGCCATTCCAATTATAAGAATAATTTAAATCTAACAAATATTAACTTTTTTCTTTATCCTCCTGAATACCTCAGATTACCTACAGGTTATCTCCAGAATATCTCCAACTACACACTTAGAAACAGCACTCTCCAGAATATCTCCAACTACACACTTAGAAACAGCACTCTCCAGAATATCTCCAACTACACACTTAGAAACAGCACTCTCCAGAATATCTCCAACTACACACTTAGAAACAACACTTTGAAGTAGCACCAAGCTATATTAGACAAGCTAATGACACCAGGCCTTAAATAACTCCTAAAATCACCGCCCACTAGGAATGTTTAACACCTGGGTAGGCCTCTGCTTATTTGCAAACAATAGCTAATTAACCAGCAATCAACAGCAAGTAACTAGCTTAATCAAATCAAATGCCTTATAATTAACAACAGGAATTCAAACCTTGGGCAATCAGTAACCTTTTCCTACAGATGAATCTTACCTGTAACAGTAGAAAAGAAAGCTCTTAGCACAACTCTTAGACAGTTGAAGCTTCTGTAAAACTCTCCAGAATATCTCCAGCTACACACTTAGAAACAGCACTTAGAAGTAGCACCAAGCTATATTAGACAAGCTAATGGAACCAGGCCTTATATAACTCCTAAAATCACCGCCCACTAGGAATGTTTAACACCTGGGTAGGCCTCTGCTTATTTGCAAACAATAGCTAATTAACCAGCAATCAACAGCAAGTAACTAGCTTAATCAAATCAAATGCCTTATAATTACCAACAGGAATTCAAACCTTGTGCAATCAGTAACCTTTTCCTACAGATGAATCTTACCTGTAACAGTAGAAAAGAAAGCTCTTAGCACAACTCTTAGACAGTTGAAGCTTCTGTAAAACTCACCAGAATATCTCCAGCTACACACTTAGTTTAGTGGGTAATATTTCTTTAAGAAGGTCATCCTGCATTAAAAGATGCCAGTGGTTTTTTATTGTATTTTTGATATAACTACTTTTGTTGTTGTAATTAAAAATAATAGGGAGAGTTGGGGTGTCTGAGGTCTGTTTGTCTTTATAAATTAAAAGAATGTCTCTTTGTTGGTTTTTGATACTCTCTATAGTACTGTGCCCTTCCATATAAACAATAAATCGTCAATGTATCTAAAATAGGAGACCAGGTTTGAATCCCAGGCATGCCCACCCAAATGGCGCTGGATTCCCAGTCTGCCATAAAGAGGGTGGCATAACTGGGGGCAAACCTGGTCCCCATAGCAGTACCTCTCTTTTGTAGCTAAAATGAGTCAAAGAACCAAAAATAGTTATTATTGAAAATAATATCAATACTTTCTAAGATAAAATCGATTTGGGCATTTGGAATTTTTTTCTCATTAGATAAAATTGTTTTGGTAGCTTGAAATCCTATAATTATTGGGGAAATAACTTTTTTTATGTTTTATTATTTTTTTTATTAAATGTTTTTTAACGTATTTACTTATATATTTATTTTAATCAATGTCATTCTATGCGTACTTTGATATTAATATATATATATATATACACAAATATATAATTATATATATATGTTAATATTAAAATACACTTGGACAGTGTATGTGTATTTATGTGTATATGTATATAGATCATATACTTAATAATTATATATATATGATCTGAGTATATATAATTTAATTTCACACTGTTTTCATTTTTTTTTTTTTACTATTTACAGGCAGCAGGGGGACTACCTGTCATTACAGGCACTCCCCCTGCTGGCACTGGGGGGGCCAAAAGTGACAGAGGGGGACTCCCTGGGCTGTCAGGTGAGTACCCACACCACGATCGCCAGCGTGGGATCGCCAGCATGGGATCACCAGCGTGGGATTGCTGGCGACCGGGTAAGTTGAAAGCACGGCGGGGACGTGCTATGCCGCCCCTTGGAGTTTAGAGCCAGGTCCCTAAGGACGGCATAGCACGCCCGCCATCCTTAATGGGTTAACATTACAATGATTACATGTCATTTTAATAATATTGCTTGCTTACTTAAATCTATTTGTTTTAATTTTTTAGACATATCTACTGTCTTTTTTTGTGCCCCCTGTAGAGATAGCTATTTGGTATGTTTAATGATCCTGCCTGAAGTGTTTTTTTCACTGTGCACGCAAGTTTTATCTTGGAACTACCCTTCCCAGGTTTCCCTGCAAATGAGGCAATGTCCTGCCCTCTTTGTATTATGCATAATAACTTGTGTCCCCATGGGTTTCCTCTTCCTTTCGTCTATATCTTATACTACAGCTCCCAAGATCCTATACGGCTATCGTGACGTCATCGGTGACGACGCCTGTGTTCTATCAAATTTCCCTACCCGTGAAAATCCCCTACCTTCGTCACTTCCGGTGAGGGGAATCAGCTGGGTCCTGTGCTGCATATGCGTGCTAGCACTCCTGCTACTCCTCCACAGCAAGGTCCTGGAAGGTAAGTAAAACTAGTTTTACACTTTCATTATAGTTAGTTCACTAAGCTTAGGACATGGGACACTTAGGGTTAATGTTAGGGTTCAAATTAGGGTTAGGATTAGGGACTTGTTCATATTTAGTGATATTTCACATTAGGGGAATATCACTAAATTGTGATTTTTCACACTTTATTTTAACCTTTACCCCAAGTGTTAGGGTAAGAGAGAGGTGTGAGAGAGGTTAAAATACCTTACCTAACCCTAATTTGAACCCTCATTTAACCCTAAATGTCCCATGTGCCTAAGCTTAGTGAATGCATTAACTATAATGAAAGTGTAAAACTAGTTTTACTTACCTTCCAGGACCTTGCTATGGAGGAGTAGCAGGAGTGCTAGTACGCATGTGCAGCACAGGATCCAGCAGCACAGGATTCCCCTCACCGGAAGTGACGAGGGTAGGGGATTTTCACGAGGTAGGGGAATTTGATAGAACAGGCAGGCCTCGAGTCACGTGACTCACTTTAGTCACTTAGTTCTAGGCCAGGGATAGGCAACCTTTTAGCAGCACTGTGCCGATATAGGATTGTGATGTCCCGTAGCGTGCCGGTCCTATTTTTTAAAATTGAGGTCTGTATGCTGCAGTATTCTGCTTGTGTTATTTATACTGTAAGTGCTTTGTACAGGGAGTGCAGAATTATTAGGCAAATTAGTATTTTGACCACATCATCCTCTTTATGCATGTTGTCTTACTCCAAGCTGTATAGGCTCGAAAGCCTACTACCAATTAAGCATATTAGGTGATGTGCATCTCTGTAATGAGAAGGGGTGTGGTCTAATGACATCAACACCCTATATCAGGTGCATAATTATTAGGCAACTTCCTTTCCTTTGGCAAAATGGGTCAAAAGAAGGACTTGACAGGCTCAGAAAAGTCAAACATAGTGAGATATCTTGCAGAGGGATGCAGCACTCTTAAAATTGCAAAGCTTCTGAAGCGTGATCATCGAACAATCAAGCGTTTCATTCAAAATAGTCAACAGGGTCGCAAGAAGCGTGTGGAAAAACCAAGGCGCAAAATAACTGCCCACGAACTGAGAAAAGTCAAGCATGCAGCTGCCACGATGCCACTTGCCACCAGTTTGGCCATATTTCAGAGCTGCAACATCACTGGAGTGCCCAAAAGCACAAGGTGTGCAATACTCAGAGACATGGCCAAGGTAAGAAAGGCTGAAAGACGACCACCACTGAACAAGACACACAAGCTGAAACGTCAAGACTGGGCCAGAAATATCTCAAGACTGATTTTTCTAAGGTTTTATGGACTGATGAAATGAGAGTGAGTCTTGATGGGCCAGATGGATGGGCCCGTGGCTGGATTGGTAAAGGGCAGAGAGCTCCAGTCCGACTCAGGCGCCAGCAAGGTGGAGGTGGAGTACTGGTTTGGGCTGGTATCATCAAAGATGAGCTTGTGGGGCCTTTTCGGGTTGAGGATGGAGTCAAGCTCAACTCCCAGTCCTACTGCCAGTTCCTGAAGACACCTTCTTCAAGCAGTGGTACAGGAAGAAGTCTGCATCCTTCAAGAAAAACATGATTTTCATGCAGGACAATGCTCCATCACACGCGTCCAAGTACTCCACAGCGTGGCTGGCAAGAAAGGGTATAAAAGAAGAAAATCTAATGACATGGCCTCCTTGTTCACCTGATCTGAACCCCATTGAGAACCTGTGGTCCATCATCAAATGTGAGATTTACAAGGAGGAAAACAGTACACCTCTCTGAACAGTGTCTGGGAGGCTGTGGTTGCTGCTGCACGCAATGTTGATGGTGAACAGATCAAAACACTGACAGAATCCATGGATGGCAGGCTTTTGAGTGTCCTTGCATAGAAAGGTGGCTATATTGGTCACTGATTTGTTTTTGTTTTGTTTTTGAATGTCAGAAATGTATATTTGTGAATGTTGAGATGTTATATTGGTTTCACTGGTAATAATAAATAATTGAAATGGGTATATATTTGTTTTTGTTAAGTTGCCTAATAATTATGCACAGTAATAGTCACCTGCACACACAGATATCCCCCTAACATAGCTATAACTAAAAACAAACTAAAAACTACTTCCAAAAATATTCAGCTTTGATATTAATGAGTTTTTTAGGTTCATTGAGAACATGGTTGTTGTTCAATAATAAAATTAATCCTCAAAAATACAACTTGCCTAATAATTCTGAACTCCCTGTATCATTGTATTTGTGCGTATATGAGCTATTATATTGTATATGTTCAGGAGTAGTTTGTGGTATCGTGTATGATACATATGAATGTGGGCTGTGTATTGGGGCTGCTTGTGGAATTGTGTGTGTGGATGGATGTGTCACATTGTGTGTTTGGTAGTGTGTGTATGTGTGGGGTATTGCATGTGAGAGGCTGTATGTGGTGTTGTGTGCATGTATGTGGATTGTTAGCGGGTTACGTTTGTGCGGATTGTGTGTATGTTTGTTTGTGGGCTGTTCGTATTATTTGTATAAGGGGAGGGTTATTGTGCATTTCTGTGTATATCTAGCAGTATGAGTGGCTTCCGTAGGTTCCGGTGGAGACCAGGCTGGCAAGGTACAGGTGAAGGGCAGGAACTGCAATATGCGCTGTGGGCTACTCTACCAGAGTGTGGATTCCCATTCACAAGTGCTGGGAGGAAGGGACCTGAGATCACTTACTCTATGTGCTGCAATGCATAAATTGAGGATTGTCCTTTTCGTATTGCAGATATCTGAATTTTCACTGGGACTCCTGATAGGCCAGAGCCTGTTTGGCTCTAGCAGCCTTGAGTGCCGTGCAAAGACACCTTGAGTGCCGTGCATGGCACTAGTGCCGTAGGTTGCCTACCCCTGTTCTAGGCAGTCAACCCTCGTTTTTACATCAAATTATATACAATAAAGTTAGCTACATGTATAAATTACATAGAAAGGCATTTTATACAAATCTGTAAATAGGAAAAATATGTTCTCACCCAATTGGCTACAGACCTGTGATGTCATTTTGGCACCAATTGTAAGTGTCCATACACCTATATAAACCCCTACCAACCAGGTTCTAATTCTTATCCCATTTGAAAAAGCCCTAGTGGCGAAACGCGTTATGGTTGTTTTATTTGTGTTTTTTTTTATTTTTTGGGTTATCACTTTATGCCAATTATCTTTTTTTATAATATCTTCATTTGATTTTTTTACCTGGCTTCCTGTTATCATCGCATGACTCCAAAGTATATCCTAGGTGGGGATCATACCACCAATGCTTATATCATAGTGCAGTAGTTTGCACTAGACTTGTGAGTACATTTATGTCCATTTGCACTATATTATATTACTGAAAGCACTATCAGTTGTGTTTTTCTTTTATATTTTTCTCCTGAGTGGAGGACGCTTTCATCCCTTTGGAGGACGCTGACTACATATCCTTTAAAGCGGGGATTATACCGATGTACTCCCTTCACACTCTGAGCTGGCTACAGCTCTTTTAAATGTGAGTTAATTATATATATTTTATCAGTTTATCCTATTAGTTTGTACATACTGTACGATTGGCTTCCCTAGCTTTTGTCTTTTATATATACGGAACAGCTGATACACATATCCTTTAAAGCGGAGATTATACCGCTGTACACCCTTCACACCCTGAGCTGGCCATAGCTCTTTTAAATGTGAGTTAATTATATATATTTCCTCATCTTATCCTATTGGTTTGTACATACTGTACCATTGGCATCCCTCGCTTTTGTCTTTTATATATACGGAATGGCTGAAACACTTAGGACATTGAGGACTCTACACTTTCAAGTACCAAAATAGACTTTTTATTCATAACAAAGACTCTTCTACTATAATACGGAATTTTTTTTTACTGCTTCTGGTGTTTGTTTGTTTTGGTATTCTTTTGGCGTAGCCCTTTTTTAGCTTTTTCTATGTTATTCTTTGTGTGTGTAGTGTTAGTCCGGCCATCCTAAGGTCCGGTATACATTACTAGTATTTGCATTCTGTGTGTAGCATCCTCGAACGTTCCTGACACTGTGCCATAAAAGTCTATTTTTTTAATTATTTTTTTTGCTGTACATTAGAGTAATACAGACAGGCTTGAGGTACCCCAATGGCAATCCTCAGGCTAAGCATCTTGTAATACAATTGGAGTAGTAGATTATGCAAGCACAATTTTATATAATGAACAAGAGATAACAGGATGGAAAGGTGTCTAGTCAGGTCTGTCTAGCTACCATTAGTAATACAGGCTAGTTGCAAACATATAGAGTAATTGGTAGAATCTATCGTAGACACCATATGTCTGGGGAAATAAAAGAAAAATATAGTGCAATACAATAAGCACAGGCAAAGGGCTTGGGGGTGGTAGAAAACTCTAGGACCACAGATACAGATATAAAAACCGCACATATAAATATGTAAACAAGTTGATGATTAAAATCCTACGCATTTCACCTGTTCTGGCCATCCCTGAGGAAGTCCAGAACAGGACAAAACATGTAGGATTTTAATAATAGACTTGTTCACATATTTTTATTTGCTGTTTTTATCCATCTGTGGTCCTGGATTTTTCTCTGCTACCTGTTAGAAACCTGGTTACCACTCTGATGTGGAGACATGCTGTTTGTCTTTTGACATATTGTGACATAAGTGCAATTTGTAAGAATAAATTTGTTACTTTTTATACAGTCTGCACTATCTCTCTTCTCTCTTTATGTTATGAGTTTTCCAAGAAAATACTCCTATACCAGGATTTCCTTTATCCATGCAATTACTCCATTATTGAGGGAGACATGCCTGGTGGGGGCCCTAAATTATAATAAGGGGGGACCTAATGTCCTCTCCCCTGTCCCCCACCCCTGAGTGGTGGGTGGGGGCCCTACAGTAAAATCAGGGGGGGACCCAATGTCCTCCCTCCTGGCCCCCACCCCTGAGCGGTGGGTGGGGGCCCTAAACACTAATAAGGGGGTGGACCTAATGTCCTCCCACTGGTCCCTACCCCTGAGTGGTGGGTGGGGGCCCTAAATTAGAATAAGGGCCGGGACCTAATGTCCTCCCCCCTGGCCCCCATCCCTGAGCGGTGACCCTAAATACTAATAAGGGGGGTGACCTAATGTCCTTCCTCTGGCCCCCTAGTCACCACCCCAAAAGAAAAATTAACCCCTACCAACCCTCCATCACCCTTAAAATATTGAGGAGAGGACCTTTAACTATGTACATGTAAAAAAATAAAACTTACCATTTAGTGTTTTCTTTCTTCTAAAATCTTCTTGTTTCAGCCCCAAAAAAGGCCAAATAAAAAAATCCATAATAACCGGCGCACTTAAAAAAAAAATTTAAATTTTTTTTAAAAAATCCATCTTCACCCATGGAGGGCTCCACGCAGACTGAGCTCTGCAGGGCTGGGGAAGGCTCATAAAACCTTGCCCTGCCCTGCAATTGGGCTCAGAGAACTCTGATTGGTGGGTTTAAGCCATTCAAGCAGAGTGCTCTGACAGGTAAATGAAGAGACTGGCTCAGAGCACTCTGATTGGTTGGCTTGAAATCCACCAATCAGAGTGCTCTCTGTCATTTTACACAGCGTGGGAAAGTTCTTTGGAATTTTCCCACGCGGTGTAATTTGACTCATAACACTCTGATTGATTGGCTTGAAATCCACCAATCAGAGAGTTATGAGTCAAATTACACAGCGTGGGAAAATTCCAAAGAACTTTCCCACGTTGTGTAAAATGACACAGAGCACTCTGATTGGTGGATTTCAAGCCAACCAATCAGAGTGCTGTGACAGGTAAATGTAGAAACTTACCTGTCAGTTTCTTCATTTACCTGTCAGAGCACTCTGATTAGATGGCTTAAACCCACCAATCAGAGTGCTCTGAGCCTAATTGCAGGGCAAGGCAAGGCTTTATAAGCCTTCCCCCGCCCTGCAGAGCTCAGTTTGCGCAGAGCCCTCCATGAGTGAAGATGGATTATTTTTTTTTAGCGCTCGTTTTTTTTTTTTTTTTTAAGTGTGTCGGTAATTTTTTGGGGCTGAAAAATAAAGATTTTAGAAGAAAGAAAACATCAAATGGTAAGTTTTATTTTTTTACATGTACATAGTTAAAGGTCCTCTCCTCAATATTTTAAGGGTGATGGGGGGTTGG